GTCCCGTTCTTTCTCTCTTTTTCTGTTCTCCCGTTTCTGCTTGTTCCCGCGTGCCGAGCGTCGCGCGATTCCCGGCAGGATTGCGTTCGTCTCGACGGCAGCCGCCCCGGCGAGCGGACATCACGAAATAAGGTTGACTAAAGGATGTTAATGCGTTCTAACTGTATTAGAACTTAAGTAGATATTTCGCATCGAGCGTAGTAAAGCTTCGGCGCCGAGTCAGAATTGTTTCGTTTCGAGTGTACGGCTTCCAGATCCACGTCGATCCGCGCGACTTCCGGAATCCTTCCAGCTGTCCGCGTCCGAGAGGCGCTATTGTTCCTCGCACCAGAAAATCCTTGATCGCAACGCTGCCGCTCCGCCGTGTTCTCTTCCCTTTCGTCATCGGTGATCCTCTGGCAATCCGAATTGTCCGTAGTCTCGGTCGAACTTCGCCGATTCTTTTCGAAACCGACGCGGACTCGTCGACACTCCTACCGGAAGCCGAGCAACGAGTTTCTCGGCGATTCTGTTTCAGCGAAAGAAAGGTTCACCGGACTATCGTGAGATTTGTATCTGTTAATCATTGACCCTTAGGCAACGATCGACCCTTCGCACTTGGAAGACGACTGCGCGTGATCATTTCGTTCTGCACAGTGAAACTGTTTATATTTATTACCAAGCTACGCGCAGAGCATCGATGTAGGAATTGTTCGAATAAAACAGCTTCGCCCCTCGGTTTCTTTATTTCTTTTCAAGCAACGTTAAACCAAACGGGAACTTTCGAGTGCAAAGGGTCGAATAACCGATAGAAAGCGTCGAGCGAACAAGCTCGAGTAATCTCAAGCATTCGCAACGATGTAGAAACTATCGGAAACAGTTTCGGTATCGGTTACGAAACACATTTACTTCGAAAAACTCAGCGATCTGGATAAAGATCGAGGGCACCTTAACGATTATCCCGGCCGCCGCCGTGCGACACCGAAAACCGAAGATCGATGGACAGATGGATCGTCGGAAGCGATCGGGAAACCGCGACGATTCGAAGGATTATAATGTAGCGGGTCTACAAGTGATTTCGTATGCAAATAAAGATCTCTATGGGTGTGTACTTCCCGTTCTTTCCTTGCCGAGGGCCGTTTTAACGGTTTCGCCGTTGAATATGCGATGGCGTGTATATTCAGCGCGGCCGAAGGATTTTACATGGATATTGGATAACAGCGCCGACGAAGGACACGTGAATCCGGGCGCGATGTGTTCCGTAACGAAGTCGCGAATTTCCATACGTTGCGCGTCCTCCGCGCAACCGGATGCGGATAATTTCATTGATGCGGCCGCGAACGGGCCGGCGGACGGCGGGGTACAGGGAGGGGCGGGTAACGACCAAAGCATTATACTTCAAAAGCGGCGACGCATAAAAGCGCAAAAAATAGAACCCGCCGTTGCCTGTCCGAGTTCTTCGTTAACAATGGCCGCTTTTCAGCGCGCGACAAAATTGACTATTTACGCGTGCCTTTCATTCGCGGGGGAGAATCGAACGACGAGAATAGTCTTCGAAGTACTGTTTTCATTGTCCCATCAATCCCCCGGTCGGCCGCGGTTGTTGAATCGATACCGCTGATATCGGTACTCCCTAATAACCGAACGACGGAAAGGGAAAAAGGAAAACGCGCGACGGAGCGAAGGGAACGAAAGAGAAACGCCGACGACTCGAGAATTCGGTCAAGATGTTCGAACATTTTAAACGGACCGTTCGCGACGCCGCGCCGGAGCTAACGTTCACCTTTCCCCTCTTCCCGTTGCGTTACGCTTTCCCCCTTTTTCGTCTTCTCTTTTTTTCGAAATCGATACATAAACGCGACCGAACCGTGACCTAAAATAATTTTCAACGACTCCGCGTCCCAATTACCAGGAATATGAATATTGCGCGAAACGCCTTGTGATTCGAGCGGCCACTGCGAGTTTCGACGAAGCGACGCGTCTTGGATGAGAATGGCAACGGGATAGAGGGGTTGGAGGGTCTTCGATAAGTGTCTTGTTTATAGTTTCTATCTGTAGAACCGTTGCGAGGAATATCACGGTACGGAGAACGACGCGAGGACAGATGGAAGCTGATCAATTAAGCGTGTCTGTTTTCGAGAAACAACGTTCGCCCGTCTAACGGAAAGAAAGATAAGGGAACTTTACGTCTCCATTATTCCAAGACAATCGCGGTTGCGGCGCGTCCCTTGAAACTCGCGCGCGTTTGGCCTTTGACATGCATCCCTGTCGCTGGCATTCTTGCCTGAGACGCATAACACGGCGGGCCGCGAGCTCGCGACGTATCCTTGCCTCTTCGACCGCGAAAGGAACGATTGTTCGCGCGTCCGCTCGGTCCCGGCGTGGGCGGCTCGACAGATTGCCATCGATCCGCGTAATTAACTGCGCCGGGAACGGATCGTGAGCTCTGCCAATTTGCATAATTGGGTCGGCGTTGTTAAAACGTTATTTACCCGGCTTCGTAAATTCGACCGTGTCCTTCGGACAATTAATGCCCGGGCAACGCGCGCGAGTCCGAGCCGGGCAAAAACATTTTAACGCGGTTTTAATGCCCGCCGCGTTTAAAACGCCGGGACGATCTTCGCCGCTGTAACGATCCCGTGGAAACTCTCCGCTGATGGATCCTGGTAATCCGTTTTAGCCGCGGAACGATGCCGGAGAAAAATTCCTTGCGGCTGCCGCAGCGTAGAGGGAGCTTCCCCGCTGTCCTTTTTGCTGTCTTTGTTCCTAACGGATGCTTTTTTAATCGACAGCGCAGCCGTCGAGTGGATGGAAGCGTGTGAACAATTATGTCGAAGATTGTTTCAGGGACGAGACGCTTTCGCGACGAACTTTCATAGAACGGTTTTTCCTCCGTGAGCAATTTCATCTTGCGAACTCGCAGGACTACTGATTTAAGAGTTTCCGTTCGCTATTTACGTTTTCACTATTGCATCGCTCCTCTCTCGTTGACTCTTCGTATGGAATCACAGGATTTTCGACTGTCGCTTAGCTTCTACGTGAAATATCGTTTTTGTAAATGCTGTGACTAGGAATTTTCAATCTTTTTTTTTACAATCTTCACGGCACTTTAACCGAATGTATAAATAAGAATTGAACTTTCCTTGTTCCCCAATGGCTGCCAGGGCTAACGCCCTACATTCGTTCTACTCCAAAATTAACCTCCCCGTATTCTCGGAAGTCACAGTTCGCCATCCAGCCCGGAACGTCGCTTGACGTCTCGTAACGATCACAGGACAATGTGTTACAAGGTCGTAAGGTCGCAGGATCGCAATGTAGAACCGGCGCAGAATGACAATGGCACGTCTACTCGTCGCTTGTGGTTGACCTGCATTCATCTGCATCGTCGTTTCCTCGGGACGTTCGGTCCCGAGCGTCACGGACAAAGAGAGATGCCCAGAAAGAGATAGTTCACGCTAGCTGCCGGTACTTTAAAGCTTCGAATTGTTTCCCGCCAGCAATTTTCCCCCGCGACTGCAGCTTCGTTCGGAGGACAATCGGCTCCTACGGCACTCGCAGAACCGCGGCGAAACTAATTAAATGGCCCGCAGTACGAATTCTCGCCAGCGTTTCATTTTTTTCCCGTTACGCTTCCCCGCTTCTTCCGGCGTTATCCGCGAACATCCATCGAAACGCGTTGCCGAGCAGGCTCCCGCCGCTCGCCGTGCTGAAGCACCGGACAACCAGGGGGCGAGCGCGCGTTCCGCGCGGTCCCCGGCGAGAAAACGGGGGAAACCGCGGGCGTATAACGTGGTCCGCGGGAAAATAAGATTTCACTGGCATTTCGTTAACTCGACCTACATCCGCGCACACGTACGAGCGCGCCGGAGCCTCGGTCACGCGCGCGGTTATCCTTGCTTCGGATGGATATTGCTTCCGAACGATATCGTTCGGTTACGTCTGTCGTTTTCGTCTTACTCCTCTCTTCGCTTCTACTCCGCGAGAGCTATTACTGTGTATTACACGAAAGATGGCACGCAGGTAATAGAGATCTTCCGCGTGACGCGAGGTAATTAGTACCGAGCGAACGTTTTATTCGTTTCCTCGACAAGAGGACAGATCTCTCCTACCGCCTCCAGCCGCGTTCCTTTCGGACGCCGTCTTTCCTGCTGCACACGGTACAGTTCCACGATCGGACCGTGCAACTTTCAAGTTCGCCGGCGGCCGGGGAGGAGGGGGATTCCACGCGCGGCTGATCGATAACGCGAAACGCTAAGGACGAGCGTGGAAGGTCGACGGGAAAAGTTGTATTTCATCGTTTCCGTTGGACCGTCGCGCGTCGCGTCGTCTCGCGAAAATTTCGCGACGCCGACCTTCGATATTTTTGCCCGGCCAGTTCCCGATTCGGCGACAGGACGGGGCCGGATCGACGATTTATCGACGGACGCGCGTATCGCGCCGGATCTCGGCGAGCCCGGTAATCCCCGTTTCGCGAGCGGCCGCGATATTTGTTCTCGAGCAAGCGGCGGCCTGTCCTGGACACAATGACGTAGTTTCGTTATCTCCTCGAAACACGGCCTACCCGACGCTCGTCTCGCGACGGCTTTAATGAGCTGACGTCAGAATCTCTGGCTCCGGACTGCGCTCTCGCTCGCTCGCCCGCTCGCTAGCTAGCGTCCCTTCGACGCGCCGACTGTTCCGAGGTTCGCCGTGGCCCACATTCGCTGTCTACGACCTCGCGGACGATTTTCGAAAGTTTTTCGGAGTTCCGCCGGCTGGATTGTACGCTGCGAGGAGTCCCGTGCCGTTTCAACCGATCGTTTGACGGTCCTTTAATCGTTGCGCCAGGTATAGATCGCTCGACACGATTCGTTTCTTCTACGGGACGTAGATCTTTAAGGGACGATTGTATATATCAGTGAATATAAATAGACAGGGAAGATTCTTTCAAGAAAGGGAAGGAAGAATAACTCGGGGTTTAGAACTCGAAAGTCAAGGTTGGAACTTTATCTTAGCTAATCATATTCTTTGACCTTTTGCGAGAACTTCGATTGATTCGATAATCTGCACGAGAAAAGGTAAAAACAAGAAGTTTACGTGGAAATGTTTGACTTGCTTACTAATACAGATGACTCGATATACTTCGTTTACTTAATTGCGAACGCTTCAAGTTGAACTGGTAAGTCGGCTCACGGGAACGGGCAGGAAGGCGGAAAGTAAGATAATTAACCACGAAAAACGACCTTTGCGCGGAGCGATCGATCAAGGTTCGCGAGCCGGTCGATCAGAAAGTTTCGTCTGGCAGCGAAGGAGCCTCACGATTCCCCGATCCGTCAATAGAATCCCGTTTCCCTGCCGGCCGATCCTGATTATCCCAGGATTGAAGGAGATTCGACGGAACGCGGCAACAATGCATCCGCCGTCGTTTTTCAGCCGCATCGGGTCCGAAGGAGCTGGCTGAAGAACGGAGCGGCTGCTGCGCCGGAAGAAAAGGAACCCTGTTATTTACAGTCCCGTCGCGGTTGTTCGGCCCGGCGAACTTTCCGCGCGGAACCGCGAACAAAAGGGAGCCGCCGCTCGCCGCTGTGCTCTCGCGGTGCCGCGACGGCCACGTTTGAATATCGAGGAGGAGCTTGCGCGTTAAGGCCTCGCGGAGCTTTGGTACGCTCGCACCCCCGACGGAGAGGGTTGAACGAAGACGGAGCCAGTCGCCGCGAGAGACGGCGACAGCGCGTCAGGCGGCCAGAGAATCGTTTCGTCGAGAAGAGAAGTTGATGTACAAGGCTGGGAAAAGGGGAACGGAAGAATAGAGAGAAACTCGCGTCGAAGATGACGGGAGGGGGGAGGTTGAGGGATAAGTAGGAAACGAGGAACACGGCGAAGAGGAGAGAGAAGCGGGCGAAGCGGAGGAACAGAGAGGGAAAGAGAGGGAGGAACGGTAAGAAAGGGGAAGAAAGAGGTGTACGGGCGAGACAGAGAGCGAGGGATGAAATGTTTGAAAG